CCCTTACACAATGCTCTTCTAACTGCGGAACAACAGTCTTCGTTTCAGTTGTACGGTTTTTCAGCAGTCTCCGTTTTCCTTTTCTAACAAGGTCAACCTCTCTCAGCGAGACGCTTTCTGCTTGAGTGACTCGACTCGCACGGCTGGCTGGTAGCTTCCGTTCTCCCTGAAGCTGGTCAAGTTCTCGCACCCGGTACCCTTTGTTCTAATCTAAGCGGACCTCAGTGAAACACTTTCCGGTCCTTTTCTCTTTTTCCTCTTGTAACCCGGCCGAAACTTTCCGCTGGACAACTGAAACAGGGTTTGACTTGGAGAGAAAGGGGGGAGGTTAGGGAGCCAAGGGGGGGTACTTAGGAAAGAGAAAACGCCCACAACCCTAGGGAGAGCCGCTCGGATCGAACGGGAGGTGAATGGTTGGTCTTACAGGAGGCACTATGGGCCACCGCGGTCCAACAACAGCTGGTCTAGGTCGGAATTGGAAACTGCGCGACAAAGTGGCGTCGTTGCCGGGGATGAGCATTTCTCCCGCGGCCGCGGCCGGCTCAGCAACTACGGGGTGAGGGAGGACCAGCGTGACAGGCACTGGTAAAGTAAGTTTGCGGCGTTTCGGCATCAAGTTCTTTGGCACGCGTCTTCGAATTAGTCTCCAACGGTTTCATCACAGTGATCAAGTATCTTCTCAAGCGACGTTAGCAAGGGGTTTATTGGGGAGGGGTTTGTTGTTGGGGTTTGTCGGGGGCGAGGGGTTTCCGGGTGTCGGGGCTTGTCTCCTTGGTTCCTTTTGCAGGTCCGCTCCGGCCCGCTTGCGATCTCTGCTCCCACTTCCGGCCTTCGAAGGGTAAAAACAGGTCAGTTCTTTTTCGTGTGCGTGGTTTTTGCGCGTGTTTATTTCTAAAAACTTGAAAAACTAAGGGGGTGCACAGTTTGCCTGAAGGGTCTGAATGAGGGTGAAGAACAACGTAAGGGGAGGGAGAAGAACAGTCCGGGGAAATAGTATAAGGGGGTCTGCTCGAGGGGGAGAAGGGGAGAGAAAAAGAGAGGTAGCGAGTAGAGGGGTCCGAGAGGGGCCGGTAGTGCTGTCTATTTGGGATCCGAGGGGGTCGCCAAGTGTTCTTGATCCGCACGGGTTGTGGAGGGTACCTACCCAGGGGTGAAGTACCGCAAGAAAAAATGTGTCCAGAGAAGGGTTAGGAGTTTCGATTCTCGATCCACGGGGGCTTACGACGGTTGCAACTCCCGCGAGGGAGCGGGGCTCTCAATCGGGACCTGTTCGGGGCTTGGGGGAGAAGAGTGTGGTGCTACGGGTACTGGAGCGAGGAGGAGAAAGGGAGATGCCTGACCTTCATAGCGAGGGCATTCGAGAAAAGGGGGATACTTGGGGGACCTTGGGTGAGGGATCGGAGGCCGGCTCCTGGGTGGACCGGTGTCTAGCCGACTTCTCGGACTCGGAACTGGGGGATTACTGGGACTACGATAACGAGTATTGAAGAACCAAGGTACGTATGTTTATCGACCCCACCTGAGAGCCTCTTCCTAAAAGCTCCGCTCTTCCCACCCTTTTTTCTTGCATTCCCCGATTTTCCGGCGATTCCAAGAGAAAAGAGGCAGCAGGAGGCGAAAAAGGGAGAAGGGAACGAAGTGCGAAGAGTTCACGATGAGGAGAATGGGGAGGGAGTAGATAGGCTAGCGATTCCCGATACATAGGTGGATCTTGTCCTGGGACCCGGGTAATTCCATGCTTGAGGTGGGCCGAGTAGAGGCGTGGTACCGGATAGGCTAATTAGGACTAGAGGTCGGTTCAGTGGGGGACGTAGGGTGTAGGTGTGTGACTTCGGTCCGACTCCGGGGAGGGGGTTGCCACCCTTCCTCGGGGATAACCTGTGTCCGCGGCTAGTCTCTAGGCCGGGAGTGGGGAGGAGTCTCTCAGCGGGGGAGGACAGGAAGGTAGCCGAGTGAGACGACGTTCCTTCTCTGGTCCATTTGATCCTTCTGAGCTCACAGGCTTCTCTTCCTCGCGGGATAGAGGTGGTCTCTCGAGTGGCCAATAGGAAGTGAGAATTTAGGGAAGTTTTCCTTTGATTATACTGTATGAACCTAGAAGCCACTCCCGAATGGATTAGTGTGTGTACCCACGGAAGTGTTGATGTGTGGTGCTATTCCTTTAGAATATGGACTGGGGACTTTGATGTAGGTGTTTATGTAGAGGAGGGGCAAGATCAAGGAGAGGACTTCCTTCGAGGGTGGGAAGAGGCGATAGGCGACTCCCGCTGTTCGCGGGAGGAGTTAAGGGGTTACGGATTCAAGTATTTTTACTCTCTAGGATATCGTACCTACCCGAGAGGTGGTCGTCCGGCGCCGGTAATTCCGGACGCTTATCTTGATGGGTCGGATGGATGGAAAGTACTAGTAGGGATAGTGAAGCATATGGTGAGAGCGGGGGATCCATGAGCTTGAGACCTTCGGAGTTTGAGCCCGCGGGGATTTGTGTGGGTGATATAGGCGGTGTAGATGTTTGGTGCTATGCCTTCTACTGGTGGACCGGGCACTTCGACACAGCCTTGTACGTGGAAGAGGGAGTAGATAGAGCGGCGGGGTATTTGGATAGCTGGGAAGAGGCGATCGGTCACGCGCAGCTTGAGAGGCAGCTGCTAGGGGCTTACGAAATTAACTATTTCTACTCGTTGGAATGCCGGACGTATCTGCGAGGGGGTAGGCCAGTCCCCGCTATTCCGGACGCCTTCCTGGACGGGTCGGACGAGTGGAGAGCGCTAGTTCAAATCATAGAGGAGATAGTCCTAGGGGATGGTTAGGATCATAGAGGGTACCGAAGAGGAAGGGGTTCGGATTGAGAAAGTTGACTTAAGTAAAGACCGAGAGTGCTTCAGCGTCCCTTTAGACCACCGCACGGAGCGGTATCTAGTCGGTCGCGAGAGAGGGGTAGAGCTAGAGAGAGGGGTTTTTCTCTGGGCTCGTTTCGCAGTGGGGACTTGGGAGGGGGACAGGTGGTCCCAGAACAGGCCCCAGAACGGGAAGAGACCCAGGCGAACAGTGATCCGTGCGGAAGGAACAGTCTACTTGAGTAAGGAAGCTTGGGTCGAGTACGTCACGCATTTGGTCCTGGGGTGGTATCGTGCGGATTATTGGGAAGCACGGGCAGGACCGATTTTAAGGCAGATCTTTGAGGCTGACCCCCTTAGACACTGCCCACCCTTCGAGGTGAGGGTGACCTGCGCACGGGACGGAGAGTACCCTCGTGCCACAGGGTGCGTTAGGGCCATATACCCATCATTTGTTTTCCGAAGGGTGAGCGGGAAGAAGGAACGATATGACAGGGTAGTGTGGTCCATAGTGCGGGAAAGGGGGTGGCAGCTCTCTGTTAGGTCACTCCATTGGTACTACGCCTACTGCGTAGATAACCCGGTGCCATACGGGATCAAGGCTTGTAGGATTCGTGCCGGGATCCTTAGGGAGTCCGCCCGGGACCACGAGGGAGGGAGAGACTACGGATACCAAAGGGTCTTCGGGGTGCCACAAAGGGTCTTTTAGATGAATGGTGTTCCGTGATAAAAAGCAGGGGTGCTTCTTAGAGTCCCCATTAGAAGACAGTGAGGCCCTTAGGCTGATCCCTAGCAACGGGGAAGTCCCTGATTGGGAAAGGGTAGAAGAGGGCCGGTCCACGGTCAGTGGGGAATTTGTGTGGGTGGAGTCCAAGGAAGTAGAAGGCCGAGGTGTTGGACGGAGCCTTGAAGTGACCGCGGTTATTTACGTAGCGCCGGAAGCGTGGGCAAAGCTTATTGTACCTCTAGTTCTGGGACAAGGGGGTGGGCAGGAAAGACTGTTGCGAGAAGCAAGAGAGGTGAGAGGAGAATGGATAGGCAGGGTTAGAGAGCGATTTGCATTCGTGCCCGTGGAAAAGGAGAGGTTCGCGAGGAAGGAAGAGCTTCCAAGGTCGAGATACCCCTTGACTCTGAGGGTGCCGTCTTACCTGTTCCCCACGGCAAAGTGCGTCTTCTAGAGAGGTGTAGGGGTTTGGGTCTTACCTTCTGGTCCCTGTGGATACTATATACACACTGCATCGATCAAGGTATTCCGCCGCGCAGGAAACTCTGGGGTATTTTTCGTAGACTGGGTTCTTTAGAGAAGGCCTACACTCTCTCTCCGGAAGATTACCACAGGTGGGTCTTTAGGGCGACGAAAGCCGATGGTAAAGTTCGTCCTTAGTGAAGAAGGGGTGGTAGAAACAATAGAGGCTGGTGATTCCGAGAAGGTCTTGATCCCAGGAGACCCTCAGGTGACTCCTTATTGGATGAGTGTTGAGAAGGGAGGATTAATCAGAGAAGGGGCCTACGTGTGGGTTCGAGCGCGAAGGCTCACTTGGAAAGAGGGTGTGGAGAGAGGAGGCCCACCCGACATCGGTCGCTTCCTAGAAATCCGAGCAACCATTTTTTTTCAACGAAGAGAGGTGGACCGAGGTGTGGAGGGGTTTAGTGACCGGGCGGCTTACGCACTTTGAGTACCGAGAGTCTCGCCAGGCTTTTGGCAAACAACCTGGTGTTGACAGATTACGAGGAGGGGACTTTCGAGTCGTGGTCCCTAGTTTCCTTTGCCGAGCCCGGAGAGGTCCCTCGCGCTTCCGGGGTCCTTCACGCTAACTTGCCCCAGTTCGTGGCTAGTTCGTTCCTAAGGGACCCGGAAGAGAAGGTAGTAGCGGTGCTTAGGGCTGCTCGCGAATCCGGGGTACGGGCTAGGGGTTTGTTTTGGCTTTTTACTCGGTGCGTGGACGCGGGAATTCCCCCAAGGAGTGAACTATCCACCATATTTGGAAGATTGCGGGAGTTTGAGGGACTTCGATCCCTCGTCACGGACGTCCTGTACGCTCGCTTCTTCGGAGAGGAGCAGGTGGCAAACCGGAGGGGTTTTGAGGGCCGATGATAAGGAGGGTTACGAGGACCCTCTGGACGACCATAGAGCCCGTAGAGGATACCGGGGAAGTTATTAGAATCACTCTGCCTAGGGCCCGGCTGGCCGAGCCAGCTAGGACTCTCCTACGAGAAGAGGGGGGGACCCGACGAGGGAAGGCGTTCGTACGCTTCGTGGTGAGTCGCCTGGGACCGGTCGTGGTTGGAGAGGCCAGGATATTCCTCTCGAAGGAAGGCTTTGTTGAGATAGCGCGTAGCCTACGGACTGGGCAGGACCCTCTCTGGGACGCTCAAGCCGTAAGGGACCGGCTGGGGGAGTTAGTGGAGGGTTTGGGACCTCACGAGGGGTGCGAAGAGGAATATCTAGTGACCTACGGGGGTTGGGAAAAGATGCCGCGGTTCCTCTCCAGCGAGCCTGTGGAGGTCCCCCGATTCATTTTTGAGCGGGTTTACCCCTCCGAGGCTGTTAAGAAGGCGGTGGGAAGAAGGGTTTCCATCTTAAGTCAGTTCACGTTCACGGGATCAGACCTACACACCTTGCTAACTTGGTGTTTTCGGGACCCCTGTAGGGACGATTGGTCGACTCTAGAGGACCTGGGTTACGCTTTTGAGGGGTGGGGTCGACACGCGAGAGAATCCAAGATATCGTGGAGATATCTAGGCAAGATCTGTGAGGGAGAGCTAGTTGGGTTAGACCCCTCTGACTTGATTCGGGTAGCTATAGCCTGTCGTCGACGGAAATTAGGGGATGACCGAGCCGGACCTTGAGGGGCTCGTGGGGTTGGATAGAGTGAGGGACGAAGTTCAGCGGATCCTTGCTCTGTGCTGGGAAGAAGAAAGGAGGGCTAGGCCAGGGTCCTTGGCAAGAATCAAGCTACTAGAGACGGCCACGATCGCAATCCTCGACGAGGTCACGATAGACCTTCTCTTGGGGTAAGGGGATGAAAGCCTCTTTCGTCTCAAACAGGATTCGCTGGGAACTGGAGACCTACGAAGACGGGAGCGAGGTTAGGATTGAGGGGGGTGCCGAGCTTAACCCGGAATTGGGGGAGGACCGGATAGTCCGCGCCGAGACGGAGTTTCTAGTGGAAGTCCGGAGGCTGGCTTTGTGGAAGAAAAGGAACTGGACCACACTAGCTACCTTTTCGGTCCACATTAGAGACCCGAGCGGCGTGAGATTCTCGAGGACTTGGAGGGAGCCTTTGCTGGAAGTAGAGAGAAAGTTCGAGGAGGACTCAAGGTATCTAGGAACGCCACTGACGTCTAGGATACACCTTGTGGAAACTCGGTTTTGGGATAGGACGAGCGAATATGAAGAGGCTTTGCGCCAAACCCTAAGGGGGGATAGGGGGACGGGTCGAGATAGGTGCGAGGACTCTTTGGTCGAAGCCGCCGAGCAGTTAGCAGGCGTAAGGTGAGAACCCCTATGATTAGATACGAAAGGGGGGACCCTTACGACACCATAGAAAGGGTTTTTACGCGGGCAGGGAAATATGGAGTGACTCTTCCTAGGATTAGAGGAGAAGGCGATGTGACTACCGAGTTCTTTGAGATTTACGAGCAGGAGACGGTGGTCAGGTTCTCAGTGGCCTCCGACGAGAACGGCTGCACTAGAAAAGCGAAAATCTTTTTGTCCCCTGACGCCCAGCTAGTCTTCACAACTGAATTAGCGGAAGGGACAGACCCTCTAGGCATCGCCGAAAAAGCCCTAGAATTAGTACAGAGGTTGAGAAGGGTTGTTACCAGGGGACCCGTATTTGATAAGGTAGAATACCGAGGGAGGGAAGAGGTTCCGAGAGCAGGCCACAGAAGGACTTGGAATATCCCTACCTGGGCCTATTGACTACTCTATAAGGACGACGAGACCGCGAGGAAAGTCCGATTGAGGAGTCAAGTGATAGAAAAATTCCCGCTGGGCGAGGAAGGGGGACACGAGTTATTCACCCAGTGCTGGGAGTCCAGAGAGGACACCGATTTCGAGTGGTGGGCACGCGTTGGGGAGTTCATCAAGCCTCTATTCTCCGGGCCGCCTGGTGATGTGGACAGGGATTTGGTTAGAAGGTGTGCGCAAGAGGGGGTTAGAGGCATCTCGGACCTAGAGGTCGCTAACCTTGCATTGGCCGCCAGTGAGGAGAAAAAACTAAGGGATTCTTGGTGGACGGTAACCAGTGAGGAGTCGGAGGGGGAAGGTGCGGACGAGGATTCTGGTGAGGGGAAGGAGGGAACAGAGGAGGAGAAGAGCTTGGGAAGTAACAGAGACAATGGTGAGGAGGACGAGCCGGGTAGTAACACGGACAGTAGTGAGGGAGGCGACTAGAAGTAGCGGGTAAGGGTGTATGGAGAGTGAAGCGGGGGCTGGTCTCCCTGGGCCGCCGGAAACCACTGGACGAAGGGGGATAGCGAAGAGCCCTGAATTAGGGGCCAGTCTAAGCAAGGTAGTGGAGGAAATGACTGAGGGGAAGGAGACGCTTGATAGGGCCGAAGGGGTCCCAGAAATGGCTCCGGGGGAGAGACCAGCTTCGGAGGGGCAAAGGGCCGACACGGAAGTGCGAGTGCACAGAGATATGGGGCCACGGGTGCCAGTAAACGAAGGGGTAACCGAAGCTGCGAGAGGCGTCCCGATGGAGTCCCGGTGGGCCGACCTGATGGATGCAGAACCCCGCTTAGAGGGAGAGGAAGAAGTGTGTCGGGGCGGGAGAGACCTGCGAGAGAGGGGGTCAGCCGAGGCCGACGGCCGGCCGCGGAGATGGGCCGATAGGATTCCGGAGGGCGTTGCCAGTGAAAGGCAGGCCTTAGTGGGACCAAGAATTAGCACGGAGAGGCGAATGCCTGCGCGGGAAGGGATGATCGAGGGCTCGAGAGGCCTCCCTGTAGCGTCTCGGTGGGGGGATTTGTCGGGCGCAAGAATGGGAGAAGCCCTGGAATTCCCAAGAGATAAGGGAGGGTACCGACCACTCCAAAGAGAAGAGGGAGAGGGGCCAAGTAGAAGGGGTCTTAGAGAAGAAAGGTCGGTGGAAGCTGGAAGTAGGTCGCGTAGATGGGCCGTGAGAGAGCCAGATGCGGCTTGGGCACCTGGCGAGATAACGGGCAGAAATCAAGGGATGGAGGCCCGGAGGAGTTTTAGAGGGCAGGACCACGCTCGGTGGGAAGCGGACTGGCCGGATGAGCGGGGTCGCTACGGGGAAGAACCCGGGGAGCCATCAAGACCACGAGGCCGGGTAGAGGAGCCCGATCCCTCGTGGTACAGGCCGTACGATCCGGCAACCGATGGACCTATGGAAGGTCCCTATTTTCGCCGTTATGACGACCGACGGGTGCCCCTATTATGACGTCAACCTGGGTCTGGAGGCGCTTTTTTTCGATGGGCGAGATGTAACTGGGTTCGTGAAGAAATGGGAAAGTTACGCGTACCGCAAGAGATTCTCCGAAAGGGAGTGGATCGACTATTTTATCCAACACTCACACCCCGAATTGGACGCTGCGATCCGGGCTATCTACCCCTCAGACGGTCGATGGAGGACCTTCAGGGCGAGCCTATTGCAGACTTTTGCCTGTGATGACTTAATCCCAACCGTAGAGGGCTTGCGCCGGATTACAAGGGGGGAGCGGGAAAGCTTGGTAGCCTTCACTGGAAGGTTCAAACGCTTATCCCAAACCCTAGTGGATAGGAGCATGCTGTCTGAAGTAGATAGGTGTGTGATGTTCATGCTGCACCTGCCCGAGGAAAAGAGGAAGGAGGTCCTTGAGAAGGCCCCGAGGGATCCTGCAAATTTCGAGAAAGTAGTCGAAGTGTTTTTCACAGGGGGAGGGGTAGACGTAAGAGAATACATGAAAGAGACCTTGGACATGGCTCTCCGCAACATGCGAGGGACACAGAACGATGGTCCAAGGGGGAGCGATAGACCACCACCGGCTCCACCTGGTCCCTGGTGGAAAGACCGGCTTGCCGGATGGAGGAACGAATCAAGTGGCCAGGGAGGTTGGAGGAATGACAGGGAGATAGGGGGGAATCGTGGTTCCGATTGGGGAAACTCCCATTGGAAGGATGTTAGGGATGGAAGGTGGGGATACGCCCCTCAAGCTAGGGCCCAAGGGCCGCGACCGGAGGTTAGAGCGCCACCACCTTCGGCACCACCACCACCGGCTCCACCTGCGCCTATAGCGGCAACAGCACAAGGGGGTCCGCGCCCCAACAATCCCCAAGCTCGGGCCGGGTGTGTCTACTGCAACGAGGAAAACCACATCAAAAGGGACTGCCCTTATCTCACGGAGGCGTTGAGATTGGGAGTGGTCAAGTTGAATGAAAACAAGTGGGTTGTGTGGGGAGATAGCGGAGAGGCGGTCTCCTTCTATCCATCGATGAAGGTGAACGTGGATAAGAGGGTGGCCCTTCAAGAGGCTAGGTTGGGAAAGAAGTCGAAGGTCGGGGGCTCCTGCAGCGCGACTCACATCCAAATGGTGGAGTCACCGGGAGGGTTGTCCATTAGGGAACCCCAAGTATCCAGCATCAAGTTCATAGATACCCAAGCCGAGGAGGAGAGGCCCTGCCTAAGGGTGAGGACACAGGTCGGGGCCGAGACATCTGAGAACCAAGCAAGTGTGACGGGAAGTACGGAGGTGAAAAGCGGCAACAATGACCAGCCAATGACCGATGCGAAAGCAGTGGAGGAAAAGAAAGAAGAGTCCACTTCGCCAAAATCGCTCAAGAAAACGGGCCCCAAAAAGTTCGAAATGAAGTGCACCCTGGATGAGATAGACACGGTAGCACCCCTTAGGCGAACGTTGATGCAGCCCATGCAGTGCACCCTTTTAGAGTACTTGGCCGCAAGCAAAAGTGCCAGAGAGGAGCTCCTAAGTATCACAAGGAAGGTGAGAGTCCCGCTAGCGGTAGCGCCAACGGTGCCAGTGGAAGGTCCCGCCAAGGAAGAAGTGCAGGCCACCCGCATTACCATGGAGGAGCTGTCGGCCAATTTCTTCTCGGGGGAAGAGGCCAAGAAGTTCTACGTGCTAGGGAGTGGTCAGCTCCAGGCGGTGGTAAGTGGGAAAAAGATGAGGGCCTTAGTGGACAATGGGTCCGAGTCTGCAGTATGTAGGGACTCCATCGCGCGAGAACTAGGCCTGGAGATAGACCGAGGGGTGTGTATGTCGATGGTGGTGGCAGATAACAAGCTGCAACCGGCGGAAGGGGTGTGTCATAGCCCCGTGATTGAGGTAGCTGGTGTGGAGGCCACGGTACCGATCTTTTCGGTAAAAGAATGTTCGTCCGAATTAATCCTCGGGAGGACTTGGCTAAGCGTTGTACATGCAACCACAGTTGATTTGCCGGATGGAAGTCAAACTCTCTCGATCCAAAGTCCTGATGGAATCAGAGTGGTCCTAAAGACCGTGGACGCGCAAGATGAACGTAACCGGACCAGCCTTACTAGGCGCAAGGGGGCCAAGTCGAGGGTGTGTCGAGTCCGTCTAGAGGAAGTGCCCTTGACGGGTAGAGGACCCAAGGGGGACCAATTGGAGATCGAAGACGTGGGGGACAGGATAGTAATTAACGGCATGGGGTACGAGAAGGAGGACGAGGGAGAGGAGTTCGGTGGGTGCGTCAGTTTGTCTTTTTTGGAGGGATCCCCCTAGCCGGCGGAGTTAAGAAGCACAAAACCGTGGCGGAAAAAATGAAACCCGCCGCGGTTAGCCGGGATAGAACGGGGGAAGCTACGATATCGGAAGAGGAGATAGTCGATATCATCAGAAAGAGGAAAGAGACGGAGGGGCAAAGGATAACGACCGATAGACTGGCCAAAATGGATATAGGAGATGGGAATCTCACGGAGAAAGAAAAAGAGTTCATAGCAATGACCTTAAGGGGCTGCGATAAGGCCATTGCCTTTGATGACTCAGAGAGAGGGAGAATCGACCCAAGGTATGCGGAGCCTGCCCGGATCCACACGGTCCCCCATGTCCCATGGAAAGATAGGCCTCAATGGAAGTATGCTCAAAAGGAGAAAGAAGAGATAGTGACCTTCATCAAGGAAAAGATCAGGACATTCGTCGCGGAACCTTGCGAGAGTGCCTACTCCAATAAGTGGTTCTTTCTGAGGAAGGGAGGTAGCAACAAGCTAAGATGGATCCAGAACCTCCAAAGGACCAATGCAGTCACCATAAGAGACGTGGGGTCTATACCTGAGGCCGACTTGCTAGCGGAAGGGTCAGCGGGTCGCTCGATATACTCTATTTGCGATCTCTTCTCAGGGTACGACGAGATTCCCYTAGATTACAGGGACAGGCACATGACCGCCATGCATACACCCTTAGGGCTGGTTCAAATGATGGTGGTACCGATGGGTTGGACGAATGGGGTAGCCGTGTTCCAAAGGGCCATGATCGTGGTCCTCAAGGAATTCATACCGGAGAAGGTAGAGGTCTTCCTGGATGATTTTTCGATAAAAGGGCCGGTCGAGCGGGATGAGACAGAGGTTTTCCCGGGGGTTAGAAAGTTTGTGGCCGACCATATGAAAGATGTCAGAGACGTCCTTGAGAAACTAGACGACGCGAACCTCACGGTAAGCGGGACTAAGAGTCGCTGGGGCGTATCCTCCATCAAGATATTAGGGTTCATTTGCGATAAAGAGGGGCGGAGGCCCGATCCCGAGAAACTAGTAAAGTTGATGACTTGGCCATCGCCACTCAAATCCATAACGGAGGTCCGACAGTTTCTAAGGGTTGTGGGCTACTGGCGAATCTTCATAAAGGCCTATGGAGAAAAGGCGGAACCCCTTAGAAGACTCCTCAGGAAATCGGAAGGATGGGTTTGGGGAGAAGAACAAACTGTGGCCATGGAAACCTTGAAAGGGGAATTCCGCGAAGGTGGAGAAGTCCTAGGAGTCCCGTTTTTTGAAGACGAAGAGAGTCGTCCGTTTATAGTATCCACGGACACTGGACCTCACTCGGTGGGGGGTCTCCTGTCACAAAAGGATGGGGAAGGGAGAGAGAGACCTTTGCGATTCGAGAGTCGTACCTTGAACCCAACAGAGAGAAATTATAGCCAATTCAAGAAGGAAGTGTTGGGGGTACTGCATTGCCTAAAAGCCTTTCGTCACTACCTGTACGGACGACGATTTCTCCTAAGGGTGGACCCGACGGCAGTGGCCGCGGTCCTCCAAAAGGATTTCTCATTGACGGATCCGACCATCGCACACTGGATGATCCATATCAGGCTTTATGACTATAGGGTCGAAAGGATATCGGGGACCAAAAACCAGGTCGCCGATGGATTGTCCCGGCTTCCTATTCGAGAGGAGGACCTGCCTAAGCTTAAGAAGGAAGAAGAGGCAATGGCCGAAGAGGCAATAATGAAAGTCGCCGCAAATAGAGCGCAAATAGTTGGGGGCAGCCGAGGGGAAGAAGGGGGCCCAAGGACCTTTCTCGCGAATCTCTACGACGGAAAGTACCGAGACATTGGACTGTACTTGGTCGGTAGGGAAACAGGGACTGAAAAGATCCCGCAAGAGGCGCTGGGATATTGCCTGCGGGGGGGCCACCTCTTCAAAAGACCCACCAAATTCGCAATACCCATGAGGGTGCTGTGCGATTCGGAGGAGAGAAGGGTGGTCATAGAAGAGTTACACGATGGGGTCGTTGGAGGTCACAGAGGGGTTAAAGGCACTTTCGATAAGGTCCGCAGGCTTTATTGGTGGGACGGGCAATACGCCGAAGTGGAGAAGTACTGTTCTACCTGTGAAGCTTGCCAGAAAAGGGCGACGGTTCGATACAAAGAACCCTTAGTTCCGTCGCTTCCCACGGTCCCAGGCGAGAAGGTCCATATCGACTTGGTGACCATGCCGAAAGGGGTCGGCGGGCTTCGGTACATTATCAACGCCCGGGATGACCTCACCGGCTTCGTAGAAGCAAAGGCCATTAAGAATAAGACTGCGGAGGAGGTGAGCGATTTTCTCCTAGAGTATATCACGTGATATGGGTGTGTCGGGAGAATAGTCATGGATAGGGGAGCTGAGTTCTTGAGCCAAAAGGTAAAGGGATTGTTAGAAAAAGCAGGGATCGGGGCCGCCTATACAACTGCTTATCACCCCCAAAGCAATGCGCCGGTAGAGAGGGGTCACCAGACGCTTGTGGACGCCCTAGCAAAGTGGTGCAAGGGTCGCGCGGAACAATGGCCCAAGTATTTGCGATATGCAGTTTGGGCGGACAACATCACGGTCAAATCCAGTACTGGGTACCCTCCTTACACCCTTTGGTTCGGTAGGCATTGTCCCCTACCCATCAAGTTCCACATTGACACTTGGACAAGTGTCTCATGGAAAACCTACATGTCTAGGGGTGAACTATTGGAAGCACGGATACAGCAAATAGCCGAGAACTTGGATGTCGGGGTAGCCACGACCAGTGAGAACATCGAGAGAGAGAGGGTGAAAGGGAAGGATAGGTGGGACAAAAACCTGCGGGTCCGAAAGGCTCCAATAGGGATTAACGACATGGTACTGATGTACGATTCGTCGCTAGAAAAGACCTGGAGCAGGAAATTAGCGAACCGGTGGATGGGGCCGTATAAGGTCCTAAAGAGATTGGACGGGGGAGCTTATATGCTCGCGAAATTAGACGGGAGTAGGCTAAGGGACCCGGTCGCGGGGGCCCGTCTCAAAATCTTCCGATCAAGAGGGGCCCTGGGGGAGGAGCCGAAACTCAAAGGGAAGAAAGTGCTCAAAGCAGAACTGACCATCACTCATGAAAAGGGGAGCCTCGTCTCGCCCAACCAGGAAAGGATATAAGGTTCGGAAACCTCCGCTACCAAAGACCCCTAGGAAGAAGAAAAGGCCCAGAGAAGAAGAAGGTAAGGACGATCGGTTAGGGAAGCGCCGGCTAAGGGAGAGGCGGAGCGCCTCAAGGAAAGCCTTAAAAATCAAACGGGAGAGAGAAGAGAGGAAACGGAAGAGGGAAAGGCACGAGAAGAGGAAGAGGAGACGGAAACAGTCGTAGGATGGTGCACCGTGAGTCGTAGTCCTAGGAAGGGAGATTGTATCATAGTTAGAAAGGGACGGGTGTCACAGAACCGACGGGAAGGGTGTACCATAGTTAAGGAAACGTGAGTCGGGAAGGGGCGGTATGTTGCGACCCCGGAAAGGCTAGGGGCGTAGGTAGCCAAAGAAACCAGGGGAAATGGGATGAGCTAAAATAAGGGGAGGGAATATACATTGGGAAATGCTCGCCGGGGACGGCGAGAAATGGGGTGTGGGCTGGTTGTCAGGCGGCTGGCCACCAGCCGAAGGGTTTTCTCTTTATTTAAAACGAGAAATATTTTCCCCTTTCGCTGTTTTTTGCCTGGTTTTGACGTATGTATGCATGTGGGTATGATGTTTTTGGGCTTCCGGGCCTCCTCACTAACCCTTCGATGGCCTGAAGTGGCGGTGACAACTTGATCCCAAGCGGGCTCAGGTGGATCACGAAAGATTGGAGTTTTCGGTGTCACAATCTGGAAATGCGGGGCAGACRATGTGCGTMAGGAAGGGCCTTGGCCGGACCGAAGCGGGGYGCARTAATAAGCTCGAAATTTCGGTTGCGAATGGCCGCYGGCCTACCGTGGGTATGAGTGGCGGGAGCTGCCTGCACTACGGTGCCGGGAGACGGGTAGGCCGSCGAGTCCTTTGTCGAGCGAGTGATGTGGCAGCAGCGYGAAAGCAGGCCTGAGCCTGCAGATGGGGGTGATCCGTTTTCAAGGGAGCGTCGTGGGTTCCCTTAACAAACTTAAGTCGTGGGAGAGGCCTGCYGAGATACGACGGACCAGGACATGTCGACTACACAGTGGGTCGGSCRGCAAAATCGGKKTTTTTTTTACTTCATTYCGRTAAGGACTTGAGTTGGTTGCAGGAGCAAAAAGCATGAGCAAAGGTAGGGTCCTCGGATTTCGGGYGCGAGCGAGAGAGAGTTCAAAAAAGGGGAGGGGGGCGAAACAGAAAAGTCGGAGGAAAAGCGTCTAAACGGGTTGGTGGCTTCGACCGTCGGGGGTAGACTTTGTTGGGCTCAGAGAAGCAACCTAGCCCGGTGACGAAGGGAGCAGGGGGCTAGCCGGGACGAAAAGGGGGAGCAGAGAACCTCAAAGGATCGGTCTGCATGGGATGTGGACGAACAGACATGCGAATCGGAAAAAAAAAAAAAAAAAAAAAAAAAAAAAAAAAAGCACAGTATTGGAATAAGTGAAGGGAGGAAGAATTTCAACTGTCGCCGAACGAAGGATGATCCGAGGTGGGTGCCGAGAGGAGATGGGATTGGCGGGTAGCAAGGGATCGGGGAGGAAGTAGAGAGGATGGAGGAGTGGTCGGAGGGATAGGCGCAGAAGGCAGAAGGGGGGGTAATCAAGGCCGCTACACCATTTGCCGAGACGGCATCGGAGAGCAGGAGAAAGAAAGAATTCACCGCAGAAGAGACAAAAGGGAGGGGGTTGCGTGCTTGGCACAGAAAAGGGGCCAGGTGAGGAGCCAAAGCTAGCGGGGATACGAAGCGGCGGAGCGGCCGATGGYGGGTGTTGGGCGATGCARGAAGGGCGAGCATTCGCAAGAAGACTTCCCTGGGRMGCGCACGCCTCAAGTTTCTTGATAACTGTACTCGGCGAGGGAGGAAGTGAAGGTCCCTGCGRAGACAGGGAGAGACAGCCATTGGTGGGAAAGGGGTGCGGGGGGATCACAAAGAAAAATCGAAGGTGAACGAGAGACGAGAATGAAAAGAGCGGGAAACCAAAGAAGAGATATTGGAAAGAGGGTTAAAAATTGCTTTTAGGAGAKTCCCTGTCTGAGAGGGAAGTGTGCTGGGAGAGAGGAGGAAGAGAGAGAAACAAGATCACAAAAACATKAGCGGGAAATCGGGATCGAGATCGAAAATTTCCAGTTTGGCGCCCTGGGGAAGAACTCTCTTTTCGGGAGCACAAGAGAAGGGAGAGGGAGAAGGTATAAAAGGAGGCGAGAGCAAAAAGAGAGGACG